GAGACTTGATTGCAATGACTCTGTGGGGAACAATGAATGTACACAAAACAACTGGGTTCTTTATAAAGCAGTAATTTCTCCTCTATAGACTCCCCCTTTCATATAGAAATGGCTGTAGTTTCCAATCATGGCAAGGGCTGGACTGTCTTTCTTCCACCAAATGCTCTGCTAGCTGACAGAGACCATGGAGCTGTGAAGATAGAAATGGAAGGGAAGGCTGGTAAAGGAGTGACGTAAGGCAACGGGGTCTTCGTTTATAACATAAGAATTAACAGCCTATACTGTCCCACAGAGAAAAGCAAATACCCACAATAGGGCCAATAAGCTTTCACTCCCACTATACAATATTTTTTAGAAGTCAAAGGTTTTCAGACAGAAAAATGTCAAAGACTTCAAAATGCCATTACGAGGCTCCTTCCAGCAGAACTTCTCCAACAAAGAAATATGTTGGAGAAGCAGAGATGTCCAGGTAAACACCTGCCCCACTGTCATTTATAGAGAGGTTCATGCTTACCTCTATTATCAAGGCTAAAATATATATATATAATTATTATGACAGACTAAAAATCCTAAGGGTTTAAGGGAGTCATATCAAAACAAATCTGTAAAATGGGGATCAGGAACCAGACAGGCAGATGTAGGCCTTTAGGCTTAGACTAGGACTGGGGATACACGTCAGAGGTATAGCATTTGCCTCGCATGTGTGAGGCCCTGGGTTCAATCCTCAGCACAGCCAAAAAAGAAAAAAAAAAAAAAGTACAATTACAGGCTATATATTTAATGTTAAACCTGTAAATTTAAACTATGAAAGAAATATATAAATGAAGAGATTATGCTTCCTGGAGTGAAAGGATACCAAGAGTACTAATTTTTACATTAAGGGTCAAATGAAATGCCAGTGGTCGTGACAGTTGTAGGAGCTAAGGTGAGGTCTGTTCAGAAATTGGTTAGGAATTCCATGGGAACTGGCCCCCTCTATAAAGGCCAGGGATTTAGTATCACAGACTGCATCTTAGCTCCCAAGAATATATACTTCCAGCTCCCATACTTCCCCTTCAGCAGTAGCTACAGAACACTTGCTGAGCAGCTGTGAAATATTAGAACGCTAAGAACAATACAGGGCAGCACAGGTACACACAAGTGATGTTAGGGCGTGACGTGGATGTGCACATGCAAGTTACAAGCCAATTCCAGCAGAGTCTGCACATGACAAGCCACCACACTGCTCACTTCAGCTGGGACAATGTGAGAATCAGTGGGTGGTACGGCCTAAACACATGTGATCTGAGATATTCTATCATGGAAGCAAATGCCCTTAATTAGAAACAAATTTTAAGTGTTTTCAATGACCTCTTTCTTTTTAAGATATCTTCCACGGATGCTTGTTTGGTGTTATATGATAAACACAGTATGAATTGTGTAAGCCATCCTAAAAATAATGGCTTTAACTTTTTTAGAATGAGAAATAAATGCATATGGGTCATTCTCTGCCACTGTTCACGAAGCCCATATCATGTATTGCACATCAACAATGTCTTTCATTAACAAAGTTTGTGTGTGGCCTATAGAATCATGATATCGACCAGGCCTCAGAACTCAACTTTTTAGGAAGAAGATCTGATGACCCCACTCCCCCTCATGCTGGGAATCTAACCCAAGGCCTTGCAAATGTAGACAGGCACTCTACCTCTGAGCTATACCCCCAACCTCAGATCTGGTGTTTTAATTTCAATGAAAGTCTTCATTATTTTTGGTACCAGGAATTGAACTCAGGGGCACCTGACCACTGAGCCACATCCCCAGCCCTATTTTGTTGCCCAGCACCTCGCCGTTGCTGAGGCTGGCTTTGAACTTGGGATCCTCCTTGTCTCAGTCTCCCAAGCCACTGGGATTACAGGCATGGGCCACTGCACCCAGCTGAAAGTCTTCATTTGGATGCCTTTCTCTTAATTGTTCAAAATGGGAAAAGCCAAGGTTGAGAAAGTTTTTCATTATCCTTTTATTTATTAATTTATGTATTTAGTAAAACACAGACTGCTTTCAGGTTTGTTCAAATTTCTGTGACAGAAAAATCAGGCCCACAAGTCACAACTAAAATTCAGAGATTTTTGAACTGAGGTTCAAAGATTGTACCAAATAAATGGAGTATTGGCACTTATTTCTGACTTTCCCACTATGGGAAGGCCAGTTGACCAACCAGTCTCAGAATAGCATGGTTTAAAGGGACCCTGAAACACTATTATATATGATGGAGCCAGGTCTAGGAAGGGGACACTGGTGTAAGAATGTCACTGCCTTAATTTCCCATGAATCTTAACATCAGTTATTCTTACTCCAAAATTTAAAAAATAAATAAATAGAAAACATCAGCTGGCTGTGGTGACAGGAGTTTGTAGTTCCAGCTACTCAGGAGGCTAAGAAGGGAGGTCCCCCTGGATGCACAAGTTGGAGACCAGCCTGGGCAACACAGCAAGACCTCATCTCGAAAAATTGATAAATAAAACAAAAATATCTCTGAAAATGTAACAGGAATGAAGATCTTTAATCAGTTAAATAATATCCCACTTTGTTTTAGTTACTGAGTTCTTGGTAACAAGTGCTAATTTGTTTTCCTATCTAGACTCATCATTCATTTGCCCACCTATCAGCCCAGCTCTTAACAATCTCCTTGAATATCAATCTGTTCAAAATGAGAATACGAACCAGTTAACCCCATGTCACAGTTAAGGTGCTTTTCAGGATGCTCTTACCTTCTCTCAGTTGTGCTTGGAGGACCTCATCAGAGGGTGTTCTGCAAGTTCTGTGGCTGTGGCTGAGCCAAGAATGACCTTTGAGTTCTTATGAGATGACTGTCAAAGTCAAATTAAGTGTCAAGCACTTATTCAGTCAAGATGGAAACACTAAGTTGCTGCAGGAGCTTTGAGGTATTAGTTGGTTTCCATTCTTGTCCATGGTAGGTGCAGGAGGTAGCTGGGCCATTAGTGAGTAACTTTGAAATGGTCAGCTGCTATTATTATTATTATTATTATTATATTACTAGGTATCAGGGATTGAACCCAGAGGCATTTTACTACTGAGCCATATCCCCAGCAGTTTTTAAAATATCTTATTTAGAGATAGGGTCTCAGCTGAGTTGCTTAGTGCCTCACTACATTGCTGTGACTGGCTTTGAATTCACAATCCTCCTGCCTCAGTCTCCTGAACTGCCAGGATTACAGGTGCACGCCATTGAGCCCGGCAAACAGTCAACTCCTTAAGGGGAGCAGCTTACCAGACAAGTGAAAAATCAGACAAGAAACCATCACCAGCAGTTATCTGATGTTCTGCCAAATGCAATGACAGGCAAGAAACATTCTGATGCCAATGGTTTCCCGTAATGTGCCATGTTCTGATCGGTGTCAATTCTAAAATTTTGAAAGGTTTTGTGATAAAATTGTGATTTTGTGATTAAATTGCTAGATTTGGAAGATAGGCCTAAGGGAAAAAAAAAATCACAGGAGCTGGGCATAGTGGCACATGCCTATAATCCCAATGATTCAGGAGACCCTAAGCAACTTAGCAAGACTCTACCTCAAAATAAAAAATCAAAAAGGGCTGAGGATATGGTTCAGTTGTTAAGCAACCCTGGGTTCAATTCCTGGTACCAAAAAAAAAAAAAAAAAAAAAAAAAAGGTGGGTGGGGAGAAAGAAACATTCTGTGTTTAAAAGAAAAAATAACTTTAAATGTGAAGGTGCAGAGTGTATGAAGCCTTGGACTGTCTGGACACACAGAGATTTCCTATTACGTAGAGCTAGAGCCTGTATCTTAGAATCTATGGAAGAGATTCAATATCTCATACAATAACCTATTTAGGAACACCATGAAAACTCAGGGTTTGTCTTTACCATTTATCTTTAAAATAACATAGATAGGAAGCAACAAAAACTATGACTTAGTTCTTCTTCCAAAGACGGACATTATGGAAGCAAGACAGACAAAGGCAGACGCAAAAGCAAACTAGAGTGATCCTGTAGTCCTTTCAGCAGGGAACACTGGGAAATCTCCTGCCTTCCTGTAAAATCACGTCTGTGGCTAGAGGAAAGACGGGTGACTGGGAAATAATGATTCTGGTTTTTTCAAGACTGAAGTGTGAAACTGGACACATTATTCCTTCTCTAGAGGCCACTTTATAAAAAAGTCATAAACAAAGGAGCAGGGATTTATTGGAGCAGGTTTTATGATAGAATTTTATGATTCTATGATAGAAATTTATGATAGAACTGAATTCTGAGAAGAAGTGCACTATTTCCAATGTCATGACACTCATGATCAAAGAACATCAGACCTCAAGGTGCAGAAACAAGCCAACAAACACCCCTTCTGATCCTGGAAAAACAAGTTTAGGGTAAACTGTACACATCAAAATTCAGAACCCACTAAATCTGATTTTATAAGACTATATTTTACATTTGAAAGATATCTAGAAACTCAAAAATAATTTCCTAATATTCAAAGTTAAGGACAGTGACTCCTGATTGGGGAAAGATAACATCTTATTAGTCAAAGTCTAAAATATTGCTTATAATTTTATCTATGTCCCCCTCCCTTTAAATTTTAAATAATAATGAGTTTTAAGCTCACCTTAGGAATACCTTCCTCTTAAACACCTGTTCAATAGGGCCTTTGTGCTAACACATCAGAAGGGGAAGTCATGAATCTGCAAGATCTTTTGTTTTCCACGCTAACTTATCCTTTTTAATAGAGTGGGTATTGTCAGGCCTTATTTGAAATAGCCCATGAGAGCAGTGATTTGAACCTAGATTTGGAAGGTTCCAAGTAGGGAAGTAGCATGGTTAATGGTAGACTGATCAAAGAAAAGACATCATAGAACCTGGCACAGAGAGACACAAAAGCTTTTGTCTCTATAACACAGCCTCATGCACAGTGATTAAGTGAGAAGCCAAAGCACTGTTCAGGTGCTCATCAGACTCATGGAGGTGGGGCTCCGCCCATAACCCACCTGCTATGGCCCTGCATGTCCCCCAGCTCCTTTTGTAGCCTGGCGTTCTTCTCTTCCTCTTCCAGCAGCCTCCTCTTAACAGAGCGCAGTTCCTGCTGGGCCTCGCACTTGATGTCATTGGCCACAACCACTGCAGTCTGCAGGTCTGCCTGGAACCGCCTCCATTCCTCTGTCTCCTCCTGAAAATGCCAGAGCCCACACCTGTGAGAAACGCCTGCTAGGGCAAACATGCAGGCAGGGGCCCAGAATCACCATATCAATCACCAAGGAAGAACACAGGGAGGCCCTGCATTCATATTGTCTCCCTACTAAGAAGAGGCACAGATGGGAATTCCTTCCTCAAGTCACAGAATTCTCCATCCTAAAACTGAACAATTGATTTCATTTTACTTCCTGCCAACAGGAAGGCTCAAGTTGTTGAAATGTTCAGTGAGAAAGCAGACTTAGAAAGGGCAACTGGTATTTTCCTAATGTTTCCAAACCCTGAGAACCATTTATAGTGAGACAATGGAGAAGGTCCCTGTTCACAGCTGTAACCCCACTCACCTTTATCTGCTTTGTCAGGGTCTTCAGCTGCCTTTCCAAGTCTGACTTCTGTTCCTCCAATTTGATCACATTGCCTAGAAACAAGTGATTGAGACAGGAGTTGAAAACGTTGTGAGACTTCTGAGAGAAAGTAAGCTGGGAAACAGAGGGACAGCTCCACAGGTCACAATAAGGCAAATCCATCCCTTCCACTATAAATTCAGTTTTTAGCACCCTGCAGACGGGGAGCTAGCAGCGGAAGGTTCTTCCAAGACAGGGATTGGGATAATTTGGGAAATAAGTAGTGTTTTTTTTGTTTTTGGGGTTTTTTTTTAGGATATACAACCAGAAGTACCACCATGTGGCACTATAAGAGAAGACCTCAATAGCTGTTCACACTTACACACTTGTGTTGGGCGCTTCCCTGCTATTTGCACACAATTGTCCTGAATAGTCTTTATCACTGAAAGGTAGAGGGCTTTTGTATAATAGAGGATGTAACTGGTTATTACTCCTGTGAATCTGAAATGTATTTCTAGAGTAGCAGTTCTTAATCATAGTTAAACCTCAGAATCACATGCGGCACTTTTCAAAAGCACAGATTTGTAAGACACCAGCTCTAGACCTATGGGCTCCAGAATCTCTGAGCACAGACAGAATCTGGGCCCAGGGATATTCTAACAGCTTGATCACCTCTCCCAAATTAAGAACAACTTTCCTCACTGGTTCTCCAAGTCTCCAATTTGCTCCATGAGGCTATCAGAGCCATTTAAGTGTTCTCATCATGTCAGTCACCCAGGTAAAGTTCCTGAATGGTTTCTTTCTTCTAGAGCAGCACATGTCTATTAAAGATATGAATCAGAATCACTAGAGAAGGTTAAAGAACAAATCTTTATGGTCACATCCTATTCCAGCAGTGGAGCCTAAGAATCCGTGTTCGGGATCAATGCCTGAGTAAGAAAATCCTTCTTCACTTTTTTTTCTTGTTCTGCATGTTTCTCTCAAGACTCTTATGGGAAGGAGTGATTAGGGCTGGAATTGAGTGTGCCTGGTTCTCCTAACAAAAATATATCTTAATAATACCTTAATATTCCTAACAGAAGTTTAAAAGCCCTTAAAAGATGCTCTGTGTTATTTTTCAGTCTTGGATAGATTATGATATAACCACTGGGGATGGGCCTGAAATTTGCTGTGGACACTAATTATACACTGGTTTTTTTGGTTGTGTCTGGACTGACTCTTAAGAATTTAAAGACAATACAACCATTTTCTCAATAGCAATATGCCACAAAAACAAAACCCAAACAAAACAGAACTCATCTCCTTTGACTTTACTTTTTTCAAGGGCAGTGCTCTTTAGAAATAGTCTTTAATTGTATCCTAGTACCACTGTTGAGCCTGGGTGATACTGAGAGCCAAGACTCTACAGTTCATCATGTCTAAGGAGGAATGGAACAGGTACTATCACACAGGCGTAGACGTCAATTCTCATTATTTGTGGTAGCTACATAAAGTTGCCAAGCTCACTCAACTAGCAAGGACTGAATCTCTGCTCATAGGGGAAAAACAGAGTTAGGTTCCTATAAGCCTCTGGTCACAACATCTTTCATTAACTAAAACACTGTTTGCATTACATAGGTTTGTCTGCCAAATGAATATATTAAACGTATTAGAAACATGCTCTTCCCTCTCTTTGTGACACGGGAAAGATATTTTTAAAATCTTCTGTAGCATGAAGAACCTTTCTGGCTCACAAGTTTAACTTCTCTCACACCTTCTGGGTGTGCAATGAGGACTGATCATTTTCCTGATCCTGAGCCATATAAAGTAAATTTCTTTGGTTTTTGACATTGCAATAATGCTGCCTGCTATACTTCCTTTTGGCCTCCATCTCACAAATCCATAAATTTATTCCTTTTCTATCTTCTCCATAGCGTCATCTTGCACTATATGTGTTACTTTAGCACTTTCCAGAGCAGTCTTATGAGCAGATTGAAGAAGTTCTTCTTTCTTTCTCTAAGTGCACTGGGTTGTTGACTCATTAACATTGAACTCATGCCAGTGGCTCAAAACTCAGTCCTGAAACAAGTTTATCTGACACACATGACTCTCCATCAAGGTGCACCACAGCTTTCTTTTCTTTTTGGTCCTGGGGATTGAACTCAGAGCACTCAACCACTGAGCCACATCCCCACCCCTATTTTGTACTTTATTTAGAGACAGGGTCTCACTGAGTTGCTTAGCTCCCCACTTTTGCTGAAGCTGGCTTTGAACTTGAGATCTTCCTGCCTCAGCCTCCCGAGCTGCTGGGATTACAGGCGTGTGCCACGTGCCCGACCCTATCACAGCTTTCTTATACTTAGGGTCAGCAGAAGGCACTTCAGTATTGCACTGTGGTAGAGGGGTACATTTTAAACAGCAAAATCACCAAAAACAAGCACAAAAATACTAAAAACATGGCATTAGTAGACTGTAAAAAGGACACTGGTATACAGTATCAGAACTGAGATAAGAAGACAGAGTTTTTGATCTCAGTTGGAAATGTAAGTGGTAGGATGACTCTAATTTTTCACCTCTCTGTGAATTTCCAAAAATAACCACGAAAGCATCATGAGTACTGATTTGGGGTTACAAATAAGTTTTAGTTAGTAGGTGAATTCATGAACACAGAATCTGTGAATAATGAGGATTAATCGTACATATTGGGGAACTTCTCAGGTAACTAAGCTATTTTTAGTAATGTGTTAGTATTAAAAGCTCTGTACATAATTCTTTTGTTATAAAAGCAAGACACATTAGATGTGATAATTTTATAAAACTTATTTGAACAAAGCAGGCAATGTTTAATCTTTTAAAAATATTTCCCTAGTCAAAGCAAACAATGAGCTTATAAATAAATCATATATTGATGTCTCTATAGTAAGAAGTGGCCAACATCTGTTATCTGATATCCTACTGTCAACGGGACACATGTTGGAATTGTTTTCTCCCTCAGACCAAAGGCACACATTGTTCACGCCACTCTGAACCTCTATCCATCAGATCCAAAAGACAGCACATTGTCTGTACTTGATGAGTGTAGTAAACAGTTCATTTTGAATGACCCTCTCCTACACCGGGACTATCTGTAGAAAAAGTCCATGTGAACACAGTCACAGCTAAACTCAAAACAGACTAAGTGGTAGAATATGTCACATGTATCTGTCTCAAGACAGAGGCAGCAGCCTCACGACACATATTGGTACCTAACATTTGAAATACACATGCTCCTTCTCGTAGTTGTTTTGTCTACTGACTCATGGTTAATAATCTCTTCTGTCATTTACTTTCTGACTTAATTTAAGAGATTAATTTTTTTTGAATTTTTTTAATATTTATTTTTTAGTTTTCGGCGGACACAACATCTTTGTTTGTATGTGGTGCTGAGGATCGAACCCGGGCCGCACGCATGCCAGGCGAGCACGCTACCGCTTGAGCCACATCCCCAGCCCCAAGAGATTAATGATTATTTCTTAAGTGCCATTATTCTTTAGAGATTACAGAGTAGTCAAAAGACTCTTCTTAGATCCTAGACACACACACATTCTTAAAAACTGTTTCACAGTCACCTGCGAATACCAGTTTCTTTAGCATCCTACTCAGGCCTGTTCCACGTTTCACCTGGATGTGACTTCACTTACTTTCCAGCTCACTAATGAGTTGATTATTGTGTAACTTGACAGCCCGGTGCTGTTCCACCTGATCTTCCAATTCGAATATGGTTTCTTTCATGTCTTTTATCTCTGCATCACTCTCTGATGCTTTCTCTTGCAGTTTTAGGCTGGTTCTGCTCAGCTGTTCTGCTTGATGATCACAGATCTCCTTCAGGTAAGAATAATCTTTTTCCATCTAGAACAGAGAAGATTCCCCAGTTAGTGTAATGGCAAAGAAGTTCACCAAAAAGTAGCAGAAAGGCTGGCTCATGCAACAGCAAAGGATGCTCTCGGCATGTAATGTTTCTTGCGTTCTTAGTCGGAGAAACAGACAAGGCTGGGAATGTTCAGGAAAATGTGTGTATCCAAATGGCTGCATTTTGTGCCCCTTTTCACAAACAGAAAGAAAGCTACATGTACTTAAAATAACTTTCTTTCCCATACAAGGGTAGAACACTGCTTTTGTGAGAGGCGCTGGTGCTACACTGGTAAGGAGGGATGGGAATGCCCCATCTTCTATCTGCTATGGAGCAGCGCCCTCTGCTGGTGAGACACAAACAATGCTCCTGAAACCTGACCAATCTGAACATAGAAATGTGCATGCCACAGAAACAGAGGAGTAGCACATAAAATTTCATCTGTTTTTAATTATTACAAGTAGTAATAATTAACACAGAAAAGCACTCCAAATAATGAAATAACCATTCACCCAGACACACTTAACAATAGTTGAGTTTTGCCACATTTGCTAAATCTTTTATTTTATTAATATTTGTTAACACATCAACCTTCTCTCCCACCTCCAAGAGTGATAAGCATTATCCCCAAATTGATGTGTGGTCATACTTTGAAGGGTTTTCCACTTTTATAATAAATATATGTCCCCATGATAATGCATAGTATTGTCCTGGATATTTAAAAACTTTTACACAAATGATATATTATGTTTTTTTCATGTACAATATTATACTGAGGTATATAATAATATGCTTTTGTCCTGTACTATACAATTCTTGTGTTCTATAACTTGTTTTTTTTCTTTTTCTTTTGTTTTGTTTTTGGCGCTGGGGATTGAACTCAAGGCCTTCTCCAAGGCCTTGCAAGGCTTGTAACTTGTTTTTAACTGTGTTTTGGAGAGGAATCCATATCGCTACACATCTCATTAGGACATTACTTTAATTACTGCATATTATTATTCCCCATCTAAAAATACTAATTAATTCATTATTTTGAACAACACGGCAATAAACACCATTGACCCTTTTCTATAGTCCTTTAATGGATATTATTACATAACTGTATATTTAGGAGAGTAATATAAACTTGATACCCATAGATTTCTTCCCAGGTAGTTTTTTGGGGGGAGGGGTTTCAGGGACTTCATCTGCAATTTTTTTCCAACTGCATTTCATGTGCAAAACCTTCTGGCTGTGAACTCTATGGGGACAAGGACTTCATCTGCTGTATTCACCACTGTATCCCCTGTGCCTGAAGGTCAGACACAGAGGAAGCAATAGGGGGATAGAGCTCAGTTGGTAGAGTGCTTGCCTTGCATGCACAAGGCCCTGGGTTCAATCCCCAGCACACCCCCCCCCAAAAAAAAATTGATGAATGAATGAACAAACAGTGAAGGGCAATCCTGCAGTGTTTTTCACTTGGGAAGCTGTGGATGAATGGATGGAAGAATGGAAGGAAGGAGGAAGTGGGTAGGTAACAAGAAGTAAGAAAACTAATAAGAGAACCAACACAGCCAAAGTATACTACCTGTGCTAAAGGTCAGCATTGCTCTGTGAAACTTGTATTTCAATTGTAAAAATGTGTGGCTCTGGACTGTGACGTAGAATATATCACTGCAGTTTGTGGACAAAATATTTGAAAGCTGTTGTTCATTAAAATGGTTCCAGCTCCAGACTCTGGGAGCTGGACTACTAGGTTTTAAATCTACCATATCAAACCTTTTATCTTTTTAATCCCTCTGCCTGAACAATGGAATGGTTCAAGAAGTAATGTACTCAGAAAGTTTATCACAGTGCCTGGTACATAGTAAGCACTTAATAAGAGCCACTCTTTATCTTATAATGAGCTTAGGTATACAATGTGAATAATAATATAGGTCCATTCAACCAAGAAAATCTCAATTTGTTGAAAAAGCCAGAAGTCTCATGATCTTAACAATAGCTATTTTGTGAAACAGAAGACAATTTCAAGGAGAAGCAGCCACAACATTTTAAATACATAATGCTGAAGTCTGAAGGGATCTGGAGAGCAGTAAGGGAAGGCAGCTCTGGGTCTTGCATGCTGAGGCAGCCCATGGTCTTCTGCAGGGCAGGCTGCCTTTGTTGGGAAGACTCAGGCAGAGGAATGTTATCTGAGTTCTAGAAATATGCATGTAATTATCTGGTATGTCTGTGAGTCAGTTGAGCAACGGAACCCAAAGACTGAGCACACCAAGGAAGGTCTGAGTGCAACCAAGGCTGCTGGACCCTTTATAGACTCCCATGTTCCTCTACTTCTCATGTGTTGGCTCATCATAATCATGGGCATCAAAGAGTGGTGACATAGCATAGCGATGGGTACAGTGTGGACTGCCAGGTCAGTAAATCTATATAAATCAGCTACTGTTTCAAATGCACTGATCAATTCTTGATTTTGGAGTAATTCTCTCAATTTAACAGTGTATTCCAGAAAGGTATTGGGAAAAAAAAAAGGAAGAAAGAAAGAACAGGAGGCTGAGGCAGGAGGATCACAAATTCAAGGCCAGCCTTAGCAACTTACTAACTTACAGAGGCCCTAAGCAACTTAGTAAGATCCAGTCTCAAAGTTTAAAAAAAAAAAAAAGTGTTCCTGGGTACAATCCTCAGTACCTACTACTACTACTACTAATAATAAATTATAATTATACAAATATAATAATAATAATTATTATTATAAAAATGTTTTAAAGAAAAGTAAAAACCAAGAGCCCTTAAGTAGCCTCAATGCTTCTTACAGGGACTCAATAAATAACAGGATGGTGTTTTAATATTCATTTCAAAGATTAACAAAGAGAGGGAGAAATTAAATCACTTGAAAAGAATAATCCTGTGTATCAAGTAGCTGAGAACAAACCTTTTATTTTCATGACTGTTAAGAGTTCTAGGCTGCCTTTTGTGTTGGCTTTTCTGCTGGCCAGCAACACAAACTCCTTTGAATTTTAGCTTCTCTGGATCAGGAATTACACTATCAGACACCCAGCAACATGATTTTTCCCTTGAAAAGAGAAATCTCTTCTATGGATTCCAAACATCTTTCATCTTTGAAAATCAACTTCTTGTGGCTGGGGTTGTGGCTCAGTGGTAGAGCCCTTGCCTAATATGTGTGAGGCACTGGGTTTGATCCTCAGTACCATATAAAAAATAAAATAAAGTAGGAAAAACAAAAGAATATTCCATTATTTAAAAAAATCAACTTCTTCAGAAATGGGTCCTATAAGATTATACTACAAGTAGATTCAAAGGAATTTCCCAGGAACACCAGGACTTCCTGGGGAGAGGGCAGTGAAACCATTCCTGATGGCCTAAAATTGCCAGAGGCACGCAGCAGCAGAGGTAGCTCCACAGCCCAAGGGCAGTGCTGGGAGCACACAGCCAGGGCAGCTCTGAGACCAGACCCACTGAATCTTGGCAAATGTGACTATCTCCCAGGACTCAGCCAGATACTGAATTTGGGGAAAAGATTCTATCACAGGTCAGGTTCCCTGGAAACACGTAGAGATGAAGAGGTGGACACGGGAAGTTTATTGAGAACTGCCTGGGAGTGGGAGAGGGGTGTCCAAGCTGTGGAAGAAGGAAGCAGAACCATGAAGTTGTCACACAAAGACTTCAGTTAATCCCCTGGGGAGCTCCACACGGAGGATGCCCCTCAGTACTGTTCCAGATGGGAGCAAAGCCTGGACCTTGGTCCTCTTGGGGGGTTAGCTACAGTATGGGCTACCCTGTGGAAGGCAGCTCTCCTCAGCAGAGTTAAGCCCTGGCAGGAGGGCATGCTACAGTCCTGGAGAGCTCCTGGGGAGTGGTGCCCCCACCTCTGCAGATATTAGAGAACACTGTGGTGCCACATACACACATCTAGATTATCTTCTTGGGGAAATGAGTAACTGGTCAAAATAGTTTTACCATTAGATCAATCGACTACAGTGAATAAAGACCTCCATAAGGCACATCTGTTTATCTTTGTTGGGTAAGATGAAATATAAAGGAAGTCAAACTAAGAACCAAGGTCCCATCTTACACAAACTAGTCCCAAGAATAGAAAATTTCAAATAAAGAGAATACACTAAGGAAACAGGTTTACAGCTAACCTAGCAATGTTTCAGTATATAAGGAACTAGGAATTCAGTACATCAAAATCAAAGCATCCTGCAAGACGAAAATATGGTTTAAATATTTTAGTGTTGTGGTTCTTCTTTTTTTTTTTAATATCTTTACTTCATTTATTTATTTTTATTGGTGCTGAGGATGGAACCCAGCGCCTTGCACGTGCTAGGCTCTACCGCTGAGCCACAACCCCAGCCCTACTATGGTTATTCTTAATAGGTTCTCAAGCAAAGAACTTTTTTGAAAATCAGACCCTGCCTTTCATACATCATTTCATCATTCAGTCATGTATGAATAACATAGAGACATAGGCAGATGTAGTTATATCATTGTAATAAATTCTAAATAAATTCCAATATCATTAAAGTTGTATAGATAGTTCTGTTAGAAACCAGCAAAGGTGGATAAGTTATGTTGCCAATAGCAAGGTACATGGCTTGTAAAATAAACCCTCTGTACTGCTTCTTATGTAAGGATGTTGCGTTTGTTTGTCTGTGGTACCAGGGATGGAACCCAGGGCCACACATAAGCTAGGCAAGTGCTCTACCACACCATAGCCCATGTTTGTCTTTTACTTGGCTTTTGACTGAATCTGCTGATTATACTGTCTATTTGATAAAAAGATCTTCAATACTAAAAAAAAAAAAAAAAAAAAAGTAAATCATCTAGGAAGGAAGAAAATAAAGACATTAAGACCCAACCCCGGGCTGGGGATGTGGCTCAGGTAGCGTGCTCACCTGCCATGCGTGGGGCGCTGGGTTCGATCCTCAGCACCAAATAAAAATAAAAAAATAAGGATGTTGTGTCTGCCAAAAACTAAAAAATTAATATTAAAAAAAAA